AAACTGTGTAGGGTAAACTTTTTAAAGTGACTGGCCCCACCGCACTGCGGCCCCATACTCCAGAAACCCCACCTCCGGCCTGGCCCTACGGGTTAGTATACACCGCTTGGCCCTACACGTATGGAGGGATTTTTTTGGAGAGGCACAGTACCACCATGCTGGTAAGAGGACTCGAACACGGAACCTCAGCCAGCAATGCCAATGTCCTTCCCACTAGAGCAAATAGACATTGGCAAAACTGTGTAGGGTAAACTTTTTAAAGTGACTGGCCCCACCGCACTGCGGCCCCATACTCCAGAAACCCCACCTCCGGCCTGGCCCTACGGGTTAGTATACACCGCTTGGCCCTACACGTATGGAGGGATTTTTTTGGAGAGGCACAGTACCACCATGCTGGTAAGAGGACTCGAACACGGAACCTCAGCCAGCAATGCCAATGTCCTTCCCACTAGAGCAAATAGACATTGGCAGGATGATGCACAAGTTAGTTGAATGAAGTTGGAGCAAATGACAAGCAAGTGGAAATTAGTTCTCAAAACATAGAAAATTAGATACAGCTTTCATTTCGTTGCAGGAATCCTCCTCTTAGATTTTGTGATTGCTGTTCTTTATCTAACTGGGGAGAGTCGACATTTCCTGGATCAGTTGACGATGCCTAATGGTTCTATTTCGCGCTGTGATTTGTTTTCAGGCAAATGGGTTTATGATAACATATCTTTACCCCTGTACAATGGCCAATGGGGAACAATGTTCTTATTTGGAGGGCGCCTTTGTGTGTGAGAAGTATGGTAGAAAGGACTTGAAATATCAGAAATGGCGATGGCAGCCTCATGATTGTGACATTCCAAGGTTCTTCCCTAACCTCTCATTCAAACACACACGCACGCGATGTTAATGAATAATGATTGATTATGCAGTTTATACTTGGCATTTAATGGTTTTTCTGTGATGTCAAGGTTCAATGCTACTACATTGAAGAAGCTTTTGTATGTACGGGATTCCTTGAATCAAAGCCAATTCAATTCAATGCTGTGCATAATTGAGTCGTCGATCCCTTCACCTACATTTAAAAAACTGATCTGGAAAGGCAACTCCATCCTCTTTAAGGCCATTGTAAGACAATTTTCTCCGTTTCTTGAAATTCAGAACCAGGCCGTTACTAATATTTACAGTTTTTCTCAACTGATTTTATTATATTCATATCATTTACAATGATCATGTTTTTCTTGTTAAATCCAATAAGGAATACAATACCACGATCGAATTCTATTGCTCCTTTGTTGGTTGAATCTAATTGCGATGGCTTTTTGAACCATCGGCTGGAAACTCAAATAATTAGAGTTAGGGAAATTGAAAAGCATGTTAGGTAATGGACAGATGTAGATATACTCGTATTTGATTCTTTTATGTGGTGGTTGAAGCCAAAAATGAAACTTCTGTGAGTACTGTTAGGTTTTATATTGTAATTGGCGTTTCTATGAACAAAAGGGACTTAATTGAACATTGTTGTAAAAATCAAGGACGTAGGTTGCAATTATGTATAGATGATTTAGGTTAGGGTTTGAGTTTGGAATAAGGTAGAAGACTCGCCGGATTTTCACTATCTACTCGCCAAGCTATTGCTTGAGCGGTTGAAATAGAACCATCGTCGCTCACTTGTCTCCCCTATGTTGCTTGAGCGAAAAAGCTGTCGCCTACTTTTTGATAGAGTGTTGCTCGAGCGATAGTGTCACATGGCGAAACACTAGGTCGCGATTTGAAGAATTTTAAACAACCTAAGACACCTACTTGCCCCCAAGTATAAATACAAGAGTTGGGGACGTGTAATTAAAGGTTGCTACATTGTACTTCTTCTTCATGACATCTTCACAACATATTTTAAGAGATCCAAGGAGTGCTTCAAACATTTATCCATTTATATTAATCTTGTGGTCTGACAACTGAGTTTTGGGAAAATATCAAGGTTCGTGATTACAAAACATTGTGATTTCTTAATTCATTGAGGAAGGGACTCAAGCACAGTGAAAGCACAAGAATAGACGGTTCTTAGCATTCCACTTGGGAGATACATTTAGTGTAAGACCTGGAGGCTGGTAATAAACAGCAAAATGGGCTGTAGAAGATAGATCATGAGGTCTAGCAGGAGGCTAGACTTATCTACGATAGTAGGAGGCTACAGGAGGTAGACCAGGAGGTATCTACAACTATAGATCGTAAGATTGGAATTGAGACAACGGGTCTTAGTTGGTAAAGGAATTACAGAGTTAGAACAAGTGAAGTTGCTAGGTTGAAAATGCTGTGTATTCCCTGAATTATCTATAGTGGAGGTAGTTGGTTCCGGAGTTTTTCCCACGTTGGGTTTCTCCGTCAACAAATTGTGTGTTATTTATTGTTTTACAATTTATACAAACTGTGGCATTCAAACTTAGGTTAATTGGATTGTATGATTAATCATTTAGAAACTAATTAAAAGTGATGTGTTTATTTAATTAGTCAATTCCGCACGTAAGGTCGAACTTATAAATCAACTAGAATGTAAATTATGTAACACTTAAATTTGAATTGATATTGTAGCTAGCTAGCCGATCTTTCAAGTGTTTAAAAATATTCAAAGCTCCTAGATACTTTTACGAGCCACGTTTAAGACTGTGTTCATGTACTTGTTACTTATATGAACAACCTTAAGTATGGGACTTGTAACATGCTTGATTGGAGTCAAGTTTTGGAAAATTCTTAATGATAATGTGTTTGAGGCATTTGGTAAAGTCAATCCATGATACAAAGTAAAGTTTTCATTTTGAGTAATCCTTTTCTTCTCTATATCATTCTGGTTATTCTATTTTGAAAATAATGATTGGCTAAAAAGTTACAGTTTTATTATGAGCATATGAGAAGAAAATCAGATATCAATGGATAAAAACTGAGGGATCATTTGAAATGATTAGTGCAACACTAATAAGCTAAAAACACTGCACTACATATTGTTGCCCATAATCCTATCTTTACTTCTCAACAGTTGAAATTCTTCGGCAACCCATTATTTACGGACGAATATCCATGTCCAAGGCTATATAAAGGGTTTTGAGTTGACTGTTTTATACCTCAGTTTCATTGCAGCCATTCTCTGTTAGGAGAATGACTCAAATATGAGTCTTTTGAAGAGGCGTATTCGATTTGAACTAGGAAAATATTAACTTAGGGCTTAAGGAAAGTAAGTTAAATAAGGAAACAAAATCCTATTGAAATTGTGTCTCCTGATTGTAATATAAATTCTTACCTTTTATGACTCTTTTAGGGTTAGTCTATAAATACGAGGCTCCTCTGATCAGTTTGTAGAGAGAGTAACATAAAAACAGTATTGCTAGTCTGTCTTGTACTCTCTATACCGTTGAATTAATAAACATCGTTCCTCTACGTTTACCCTTTGTGTTTTTTCTTTACAAATTCAATCTTGTGTTTTCGTAGTGTGATCTAGTATACTTCAATATTATCATTAAATCTCGTTCTTTATAGTCTGATTTGGAATCAACGTGTGTTATTGGAGCTTCCGCGCCCCAACAAGTGCTATCAGAGTTTGGTTCCTTTCGTAGATTGGTTGAGATATTTTCAGGATGATTGGGTTAAAGTATGATATTTTGCAACTAGATTGCAATACAAGATTTTCTTTGTGACAAGTAAAAATGAGGCCTGTTCGGCACAGTTGGATTTAGACAATGCGTTGCTAGGTTTTGAAAAGATGCCAACTGATTGGACAATGGAGGAGAAACAACGAAAGGATCGGAAGGTTATGTCGTTGATTCATCTTCATTTATCCAATAATATTCTGTAGGATGCCTTGAAGGAGAAGACGACTGTTATTTTGTGGTTGAGACTAGAGCAGTTATATATTACTAAAAGACTTACTAGTAAATTGGCTCTTAAGCATAAGCTGTATTCCCATCGCATGGCGGAAGAAGGATTGTTGGAAGATCACATTGTCGTGTTCAAAGAAATAGTTGCAGATTTGGAGACGTTGGAGTTTAAGTACGATGAAGAGGATCTTGCCTTGATCCTATTGTGTTCGCTACCTGAGTCTTATGCGTCGTTTCGGGATACTATCTTGTATGATCGAGATACATTGAATATAGAAGATGTCTATGATACTTTACACCCAAAGGAGAAAATAAAGCATTTTGTTGGAGCTACATCAAGGGATAGGGAAACTTTTGTATCTCAAGGTAGTCGACGAAGAGGCAGATCGAGAGTTAGATTTAGCAATGTGACTTGTTACTACTGCAAAAGGAAGGGACATATTTGGAAGGATTGCGAGATGTTGTAGGTTAAAGGTGATTTAGCTGCAAATATTGAGGTGCAACCTTTGAATTCAGACGAAATAATGTAGTTGAGAATCGTTCAAATAGCGAAGAGGTGATGTTGACTATGGTATCTGACGTGAAGTCTAGGCTTGATGAGGAGTGAATTTTTGATTCAGCATGTTCGCATTATATGTGTTCCGATAGGAATTTATTTCAGACATATAAGGCTGTTCAGCAAGGTCGAGTTGTAATGGAAAACAACCAATCTTGTCGCATTACTGGGATTGGTCGAGTCAGATTGAGGTTGCGGGATGAAACATTTAGAATAATTGATCAGATTCGACATGTTTCTGACCTGAAAATGAATCTCATTTCACTAAGTATCCTGGATGCTAAAAGGGTGTAAATTCTTTGGAAGATGTGGAGTCTTGAAGGTACGAAAGGGAGTTCGAGTTGTACTGAAGGGACAGAAAAGATCCCAGTTGTACATTTTGCAAAGGAGTGCACAACCAGTTAAGAGGAGACATTTAGACAAGTTTACTACTATGGTGGAAGTTCAGTTTAGTATAGTACCTCTTATGTTGGGCTCTGAGTCGATTCAGAACACTGATAGTGAGGTCGTTGGTGATTCCACTTTGCCACCAATTTCAGCTAGTACACCGTGTTCAGTTGCAGGGATATTACTCATCAAGTGTAGATACCGTGGTGTCAACAATGTCTGGAATGCTTCTGGGGATGTTGAAGGCGATAGATCCAGCAAGGGGCCTTTTGATCAAGCATCTGGTTTGGTTCTTGCTACAGGGTGTGCTTCGACCCCGTGTGATCTACATTAATTCCTTGGTGGAATTGGGAACCCTTGGGATTGAGTTCGGGTGTCGGTTGTGGACGCTGGGTAGAGGACAAGTGTTTGGTTTATATAGAGTGGTTATTGTGTTGAGGAGATTCGGCCAATTAATTTCGATGCAGATGAATTTGAAATCAAGGAGTTTCGTTTGTAGCACCGGAATTTGAGTCAAGGTGGAGATTGTTAGGAGTATGACACAATTATGAGTCTTTTCAAGAGGCGTATTCGACTTGGACTAGGAGAATATTAATCTAGGGTTTAAGGAAACTAAGTTGAATAAGGAAACAAAATCCTGTTGAAATTAAGTCTCCTAATTGTAATACATTTTCTTGCCTTTTAGGACTCTTTTAGGGTTGACCTATAAATACACGGCTCCTCTGGTCAGTTTGTAGAGAGAGTAATATAGAAGCAGTATTGCTAGTCTGTCTTGTATTTTCCATACTGTTGAATTAATAGATATCGTTCATCCGCGTTTACCCTTTGTGTTCTTTCTTTACAAATTCAATTTGTATTTTCATAGTGTGATCTATTATAATTCAATATTGTCATTAAATCTCGTTCTTTATAATCCGGTTTGGAATCAACATGTGTTATTGAGACTTCCGCGTCCCTACATTTTCCTCATAGAATTTGTAGTTGCAGCTCTTTATCTAACAGGGAAAAATCGACTCTTCATGGAACAGGAGAGGATGGCTACAGATTCTGTTAAGCATTGTTATTTGTTTTCGGGCAAATGGATTTGTCATAACATATCTTATCATTTGTACAAGGAGAAACAATGTTATTTTGTGGTGGATACCTTAATGATCCCTTCCAAGATAACTTAGTGTTTATGTATCCTGTCGATATGTACTATATATCATTTTGCTATGCATGAATAAATTAAAGGTTCATCATGATTGTTTAATGCCCATAAATGAATGAAATGACTTCACTATAGGTGGTTGGAGTCTCGAATTTGAATTCAACTCCATGGTTTAATTCAATCTAATAATTGGATGATTGAAAATGGTAAACTTTCTTTAGTGAGGCAACGTCATTTTATTCACTGATGATGTTAATATTAATAAGATATGGAGATGATGTCAATGAATTAGATTGGTTGAACAACTGTTTCCTCATTTGTACTTTTTGAACTATTGGATTCATATCTTCTGAAAAAAATCTTAGAGTGAAAGCCTTTATAAAGGTTGAACCCCCAACCTTAGGGGCCCCACCGACACTGCCCTGGGCCATCGTGGAGGAGGTAAATCGCAGGATGTGCCTCCCAGGAGTCAGGGTAGAGAGTATATGGATAGGCCAAGGCTGTTAACCCATATGGTAACTCCCGCTTGCAACATAGCCAATTTCACCTTGCGGTGAATCGAACTCTGCACACTGCCGCGCTGAGCCCTATCCGCCCTCCCCTTTGCCACTGGGAGATATGCCCTAGGGGGAGAGAGAAAGCCTTTATAAGATTGCATCAAGAGTGGATTCCATTAATATAATATTCCTTTTAGTATTTCTGCTTAGAGATTTACTTACAAATTACTTTACCATTCCATCTGTGATATTTTCTTCCTTTTGTTAATGCCCCACTTGTTTTAATAAATGCTTCAAAGATGTTAACTCGCATAACAACTACCACTTCCACATAGAAACAAAAAGCGAAGGTCGAGCAAATTGAGGCAAAAAGAGGCAAACTACTAGTTGGTTGCTCCTAAATTTAAAACCAACATTTGCTTCAGGTTCCTACCTGTTTATAAAAATAAGAAAAAGGCGTAAAAAAAAGTTTGAGGGGACGTAGACTCTTCCTCTAATACGATGTTTAAACAAACCTTCAATACTAGACAATAGACAAAATGCAATCCTAATGTTCACAAGATCTACTTGTAGCTGAAAGAAAATCGTGGCACAAAATTGTTCTTAATTGATTTGGCCCTAGTTCATACTCGTTGATATCAACGTTCCAACAACAATGTGTTGTTCTTCTGATTTTCAAGAAAATGATTGACTATCTTACTTAGTAATTCAACAATGAGACATCAACCGCTAGGCACCATTTTAATGATGTTTCTTTGCTTCTTTTTTGATTAAGCTTGCTGGATGGGATGATGCACAACAGGGAAGTTGAATGAAGTAAAGGAAAATGGCTAGCACACAAAAATTAGTTCTTGGAGCATTGAATGTTAGTTACAACTTTCATTTTGCAGGTCTCCTTCTCATAACCTTTGTGATTGCTTCTGTTTGTGGTAAACAGTACTTCCAGGGACTGCTGATGATACCTTATGGTTTTGTCCAGCACTGTGATTTGTTTTCAGGCAGATGGGTTTATGATAACGTATCATACCCTCTATACAAGGGGAAACAATGTTCTTTCATGGACGACGACTTTGCCTGTGAGAAGTTTGGTAGCAAGGACTTGGATTATCAGAAATGGCGATGGCAGCCACATGATTGTGACCTTCCAAGGTTCTATCTTCCCTCCTTTTTATTTATACAATTACTGATTATTAAGTTCGTATTTGACAGTGTTTGTTAATTAAACTGATGGTTTTTCTGTTATATCAAGGTTCAATGCTTTTGCATTGTTGAAGAAGTTAAGAGGGAAGAAGCTTGTGTTTGTAGGGGATACCTTGAATCGTAACCAATTCATGTCAATGCTGTGTCAAATTGAATCCTCGATCCCTCAATCATCGTCTAAACTGTCACATGTCCGGAAAGGCAACTCCATCATCTTTAAAGCCACCGTAAGATAATTATTTAAGTTGTAATTTTTTCTATTTTTCGTTGTTCACTTACTGATATATAGTCATCTCATCTATATTGATCGACAATTTTCTTGTTAAACCAATAAAGGAATACAATGCCACAATCGAATTCTATTGGGCTCCTTTGCTGGTTGAATCTAATTGCGATGACATGGAAATTCATCATGTACAAGATTGCATAGTCAGAATTAAGGCAATTGAAAAGCATGCCAGGTACTGGACGGATGCAGATATACTCGTATTTGATTCCTTTGCTCGGTGGTTGGGGTCGAAAATGACACTTCTGTGAGTATACGATGCAAACTCTTGCTTCGTTTTTCAGTTTTTCCTATGTACTTCGGTTCTAAGACTGTACTGGTGTTCAGATGGGGATCATTTGGAAGCTCTGATGCAATCTATAAAGAAGTCGAGATGAGGCTGCGTGTGTATGAGATGGCTTTGAACACATGGTCAGACTGGTTAGAAAACCACATTAAAAGAACTAAAACAAAGTTATTCTTCATGAGCCTCTCACCTTATCACAAGAAGTAAGTCAAGTAGTTCTCTTTGGTTACATAAGATATAACTAGTCTTTCACTACAGAAAAAAGGTGAAAATGCTGGTTGACTAACATTTCATTAACACTGCAGTGGTGAAGATTGGGGCATGGATACTGGAGGAAATTGCTACAATGAAACCGAGCCAATTTTGAGTGAGGGGCATTGGGGAAGTTTAACAGATCGTGGAACAATGCAGATAGTAGAGTCAGCTATACAAAAGCTCAAAACAAGAGGTTTAAAGGTACATTACCTCAATATAACACAATTGTCGGATTACAAGAAAGATGCTCACCCTTCTATTTATAAGAAATTTTGGATGAATCTAACTGAAGAACAATTAGCAAACCCCATGAGCCACTCAGATTGTGACAATTGGTGTCTTTCAGGAGTGCCTGATGTTTGGAATACAATCCTCTATTCCTACATTATGCATTTACGAAGTTCATATGTTGCACGAGATACAAAATATTTATACAGTGATGGATAAGCTTTTCAGATTTGAATCCTTTTTCAGATTTGAATCCTGAAGAGTGGAGATTATTTATTTTAAGCAAATTCATTAAATTCCTTTGCCATAATTTTGTTATTTAACTTCTTTCATTATTACAATCACAATTACATGAACTCGTTATTTTCTTTTTCCTTGCCGTTGCCGACGCAACAAAATATTTATATGGCATAGTTCAAAAAATCAAGAGCATTCCCCTCGGAAAAACAGGGCCTATGTGGCCCTGTTTTGAGAAGCTTTATTCAAAAATCAATGCCAAGTATGACTTAAAATTAATGAACATTTTTCGTACACTATCAGTTGAGAATATTTATGGATGATTCCATCCTTATTATAATTCAATTATTTTAATAATACTTTACTTTTCGTTTTCATTTGAATCATTTAAACAATATTATCATTAATTATTTTGTCAACTGTTTAGTTATGGTGGATTACATTTGACACATTCACTACCTTACTTTTCGTTTTTTAATATGCGTTTAATTTATTTAACCATATTTGATAGATTCATTACATTTTCGTTTTTCAATATGTATTTGGTTTATTTAATCATTTGAACAATATTATCATGAATATTTTGTCAAATATTTAGTTATGATCATAGCTTGATTGGATGGTAAATTAAATTCATTAACATTTTTTGTTTCAAAAAATGAATATTTTAGAGTTTTTTTCGTCATTTATTTAGTGAATGTTAAGATACAGAGAACGTAAATGGAAAAACATAATGCGTACCTATAACCAATAATTTCAATTGATATAATTGATACACATTAAGCGAATACGAAAAAAGGATGGTATTCGCTGAATGTTGAGTTCATATCAGAAGGGAAAATAGAAGGGACTATTCTAATTGACTTCCTCAACTATTTAAACTATTTTCACAAACTGATTTTTGTTTCATTTGAATCAAAAGTTCATTCCCCATAAATAATTTGTATATTTATATCATCACATCTTACAATATTATTTTTATAGCACATATAAAGTATTTCAAAATAACGTGTAATACACGTTCAACTATGAATAGTTCTTTCAAATATCAGGTGTATCCCAAAATAGTGGTAGCCACACCATTGCCTCTGACTGTACATCTTTCCTCCACTGCTATAGAGCTACACACTTTCTCTAAATGCATGCTGCTATTTCGCATCGATTCCTTCCCTTTAAACCTCACAAAACTTGTTAAGTTCTTGAATTGAAATGCTGAAAAATTGAATAATGGATAATTCTAACATGGAGCAGCTAATATTAGAAGAAAAACAGAGAAGATAGAAGAAGAAGAATTCTGAGTTTATTCAGTGATGGTAGTTGTTGTATAAGGCATGGGATTAGATGATTGAGAGGGAGATGTTTGCTGAGCTTTAGCAAAAGCTAAGAATTGTTGATAAAGATCTTGACTGAATGAAACATTTGGTTTCTCATCATCTGTGTGTTGGTCCAAAATCACAGCATGAGCACTAGATATACCAGCTAGAGTTCTTGGACCTTTGGGACCCTTCCAACCAGGATGATAGCTTATGAGCTGAAAGCACGTATCCGCAGTGTGATTGAGATAGCCACGGTGAGTACATTTAGGCATCTTCTTGTCCTTCCAAGGAGGAGGTTTGTTTAATGCTTTAGTAGGCTGTCTTACTGCCATTGCTGCTGATTCTGAAAGTGAATGATTCTGTAAGTCCCTTTGGCTTTCTTCTTGAAGAAGTAGAGAATATTCCCGAGCAAGCGATGGGAGTGGAGAAGTAAGTAGCAATTGACTTCTTAGTACAGAGTAAGATTCATTAAGGCCAATGAGGAACTTCATGACAGCATATGGCTGTAGTGTTGGATATGGTGCGCAGTATGTCACAAGTGCAGCTTGAAAGTTTTCCACAACTGCATTTTGGCAATGGCCTATAGCTGATATACTCATCCCAAGTGGCCTTGAATGAATTGTAATACATTGTGAGGGTTTGTGAGCCTTGATAAATGGAGCTGAGAGTCTTTTCCAAGTGATATACTCTAGGACCGTCACTACGAATATATCTAGTTTTGAGCTCTTTCCAGACTTCATGTGCAGATGTAATATACAACAGACTTTGGTGAATTTCTTCGTCGATGGAATTCGATAACCAAGATAACACTAGGTTATTTGCACAAACCCAGCAGTTGTATGTAATACCAGAGGGTGGATGTGGGGCTTGTAAAGAACCATCAATGAATGCCAATTTGTTCTTTACACTCAGTGCCATAGAGATTGAGCAGCTCCAAGAAGTGTAATTATCATTGAAGATTTCAGAGACAATTACAGCACCTCGGTTGTCACTAGGATGCAAGAAATAGTAACTAGTTGGATCATCAGCAGGATTGAAAAGGGAGCTTGCCATGATTTGAAGCGATTCAGGAACGAGATGAATCAGCAAAGAAACCTACCCTTTTGCTTTGATACCATGTTAAGTTCTTGAATTGAAATGCTGAAAAATTGAATAATGGATAATTCTGACATGGAGCAGCTAATATTAGAAGAAAAACAGAGAAGATAGAAGAAGAAGAATTCTGAGTTTATTGAGCAATTACAGATTACATCTTTGACTATTTATAGACCAACCAATTCACATAAAAACAGGATTAACTGCTTAACAGTTTCTTAACTACTCCTAACCATGTCTTGGCTGGTCCTAGCTATATCTAACTAATCTTCCATGTCAGCATAACTGTTTTAACTATCTTCTATCAGCTGTAACTGAATTTGTGTCATAAGAAAACCCTTCACCACACGGCTGGCTGATCTCCGTCACCCCCACCCCATACCCACTCATGCCACCGTTAATGTTTAGTCATTGTTGTTGGTTGAAGTAGTGGTGGTGATGATTCACGTCGCTGTGAGGAAAATCGATTACTTTTGCTTCAATCCAATGGCTGCCATATGTTCTTTTAGATATCCTAGCAGCGTTTCTTTTTTATTTGAATTTGTTCTTCTTTTTCTTCCATTGTAGCTTTGGCTAATTATTATCATTCAATATTATTAATGATTGCTTGTTTATTTTGGACATTTTCTTAATTTGTTGTAAAGACGAATACTGTATGAATTCAATGGAAAATAATTGTTTGGCTCTATTCAATTTTTTCAGGTGATGCTTGTGGTATGAGAATCTGAACATATAGGTGGTTTATTGTAGCCTGATGGCAGTGGTGTAGGTGTGATTGGTTGGAGGTGGGGACGATGGTGATGGTGGTGGTGGTAGTTGGTGCGACGGTAATGGTAGTGGTGGTGGTAAGGTGACAATGGTGTTTGGTAGAGCTGTTGGTGGTGGAGTGGTGTGGTATGGGATGAAGAGTGTTTGTAACCAATTATTTGAATAATAGTGACCAATAAAATGGATAATTTTTTTATCGATAAATAAATTTTGACCTAAACTAATATAATATGTATTTAAATTTGTAATTGTGACTCACCTTTTGTGTTTTTGTAAATAAGCTTGTGTGATTTGTACCAATACATTATTGTGACCATAAATTGTTTAATTATGTATCAGGGGTCATTAAATGTGACTATCTAATTTTTGAAAAAATATATATATAAATTTATTATTTTTAAAAATGTATCTTGAAACTTTTTCTGAACTACTTGTCCAAAATATAAAGTGAGTAGTATCCAGTCAAACATGTATGTATTAAAAGTTGAACTAAACTCCATCTAGTAATATTGCCTTGGGCCTACTCAGCTACTAATTATAACTCTCTTTGAGCTTCATTTTCTAAAATTTACTTTTTTTACAAATATTTTCTAATCATATATTCTTTTAATAAAATAATTTTACGTGTAGGTCTATTTTTTTTTTTTTTTAAATTTTAACTACACATTTTTCAAAAAATTACTATTACAAAACTCGTTCAGTCCAAAAATGGGGATCAAAATATAGAATCCTACGGACCAAGTCATCCGACAAAGGTGAAAGATTGTGGCAAAGTTTGACCAGCCAATTGTTGTTTACTATGTCATTTTGCTTAACAAATAATTTTGCAGATGAAAGAATAAGAGAAACATTTCATTTTAGCAAACTGTCATTGATTTGGACTTGATCTTTCAACTAATGGATTTGAAGCAACTACGAGCTCCAAAGGCTTCCAAAAGTTTTAAAAATGAGCTATGCTATAGGTACAGAAAGTAATTGACAGATTTTCTACATAACAATACTTGATGAAAATTTATTGGTTTTAGATTGAATATGGATAGAAAATGCACCAATGTAGCACCTGTATGATCAGGGGTGGACCCGAAATTATTATTCAATGGGGGCGAGACCAAAAGAGAGAGAGAGAGAGAGAGAGAGAAAGCTAAAAACAAAACAAAAGAAGAATAATAAAAGGAGCATTTTGAGAATCAAACTCAAGAACTTCCTACAACCAACGCAAGAACCACACCACCAGACCCATTGCCAAATGTTTATCTTAGGTTTTTTTTTTCCTAAAGGTATTTGAAATTTCTAGACCCTTAATGGGTCCCCCCTATGTATGATTTCTATGGTTTCAAAAATTTAAAGTCTTGAAAAACTAGGTATTTATTGCTGATTTGATTCACATTATTTTCAAAATATATTTTTCCATCACTCCTTTTTAATCACACATTCTTTAATAAAATAATATTACATTTAAATTCAAAACTTTTCTTTATTTTTTAACAATATATTTTTTAGCAATCTACTATTTCAAAATACAATTTTAGTAAAAAAAAAAATGAGGCTCAAACACGCTCTTATCATGTTTGTCAACATTCAGAAATACATCATGATTAAAATCTATTGGAAATTGGTTTAAAATTGAAGGAAAATTGGTTAAGTATTAAAACCAAAAAAGCGGAAAAAGTAACTTTTGCGTTAACTTTAGCCAAATATTCGAACTTAATTCGATGGTCAAACTACAAACGTAAATAAACCAACTTGTTTTACTCTTCAAGTAGATTGTCGTGGTATATTTGAAGTTCAAAATCAATACCGGATGAATGAGAAATTGCAG